AATTCATCCACTCCATACCGAGTACAAAGTCACTTACTAAAGCATCAACCACCAGAGCTCTGATTTTTGTTTTGATTTGATTAATATATACTGGTAAATTAACCCATCCATATCGTTGTAATGTTGTTTTACCATCCCCTAATGTGATTTCGCCAGGGTTTTGTTGAATTCGGTGTTGATAAAAACATTTTTGTAACGTTGATATTGTTATTAACGATGTTGTAGCATCCGCGTCCACCATAGCTTTTACCTTTTTGCCATTAATTGTAGTATTAATAAAAGTTAACGCTGATGGATATTGATGCTTGGAGGCACTACCATCATATGACTCCATTAATAGTTTTTTTTTCTGCCAACAATCACGGGCAAAATGACCTGATTTATTGCATCGACAGCATATTAATGGTGGTGGTGAATTATAACGAACTTGAATTGGATATTATTGTTGTTGTGGACGGTAATAACTACCAGATGGTCTGTATTGCTGTTGGTTGGTCATTGTATAATAATTACGATCGAGTGGATCTTGCTGTTGATACTGGGGAGGATTAATAAATGTTGGTGCTCTAGGAGCATTGTTGTCTGATGATTCGAGTAACTGCATAGCGTGTGTATACGACTGGTCTAAACGTTCTTCTTTTTGTGCAACCTAAATAAATTCCAGTGGTGTTTTCGATTCTTGACGTGCTACCTCTTTGTGTAATGATAACTTTAATCCTTGTGATAAATAGATTAGTTTGGATTGATCTGTCATTTGATTGTCCATTGCTTCACATAACTCATGAATGTCATTATAATAATGCATCACTGATTCCTGTAAACCTTGTTTGCGATTTTGCAGTTGTTGTGCTGCCAATTGTTGCGCTGCTGGTGACGAATATGTTTTTGCTATTTCGCTGCAAAATTTGCTTCATGTGTCCAAATCATCCATATTGCTGAGATACCCATTCAGACGCTTCGCCACCTAAATAATTTGCTATCAGTGCTAAGTTTGTTGAATCGTCTAGTTTCGCCAGTTTAAATGCATTTCCAATATTTTTCAACCATTTCAACACATTTTCGTCAGATTTTCCTTCAAATTTGGGTGCTTCTTCTAACTTTTTTGCGAGCAGTGTTTGGACGATTTTATTTGCCATAATGAATTGTGATGGACGATAACTAATTAAACTTGCGTTTTGTGCTTGATTGTTGTTTGTTTGTTCGATTTGAATATCACCTAACCTTTGTGTTTCTTCTGTAAAAATTGCTTGTTGTTGTGCTCTTGTTTGTACCATATAATGGGTTCTTGTACTTACTGTGATGTTACTGTGATGTTATGTTGTGATGTACAACATTACAACGATATGGATGGGTTAATTTACCAGTATATATTAATCAAATCAAAACAAAAATCAGAGCTCTGGTGGTTGATGCTTTAGTAAGTGACTTTGTACTCGGTATGGAGTGGATGAATT